TTTTTTTTTCTGTCGTTATTTTTGTTAAAATAAACGTGAGATGCTCTGCTCTTTAGTTGAGATATATATTGCATTCTGAAAGGGTATACGTCAAAACGCCTCTCAGGTACAATTAGGTAGTCTATCCTGTAATTGACATTACTACAGCTGCAGTTGAAGCAGTAGAAAAATTTGAGTTACTTTTTTTTTTTTGTTTTCAAATTGTTCAGACATTTTGTTTTATTTAGTAGCCTATGAAGAAAACATAAATGGAAAGAAGAAAATGAACAATATATACGCCTAGAATAAAGCCTAAGCCGCCGTTTGTTTATCTAAGAACTGTTCAGTTGTATCAGTGACACCGATATTGTATCATCATTGGCCTCGGGTCAGATGTGAATGAAAGGGCTGTTATCGACGATTCCATACGTCTTTTTTTGAGTATTTACTTTTATAATTTCTGTGAAAAATATTGTGAGGTAAAGAGAAAAAATAGTCTTTTTTTCTGTTTCTTGGCTTTTCTTTTAGATCTTGCTGTCGTTAGCTGTTTTGATAATAGTGTTTGTCGATTTTATGGTTTGCTCTTTTCAATACATTGGGAGATTTTTAGTAGTGTGCAGTGAGGCTTTAATGATCGGTCTTGCTTTCGTTCACTGCCTTTAGATAAAAACAGACCAAAGAAACTGTGTTGCTACCCGTTGACAATTAGTTCGGGACTAAAACTTTCTCGTTATTTTTAGCTTTAATTTTGGTGCTTCAATTTTACTTCTTTTAAAGCTTTTTTTTACTTCTGCTTTTTAGTATCAACAGGTTTTATCGGTTTTTTGAAGTTAAACAACGAGGGTTATATTAAAAAACAATGGCAATAACAAAGTGGGATAAGGTTTAATTACTGTTCAGTTAAATATATCACTTCATTTTCTTGTGTTGGACTTTATAGATTTATCTCTGTTTTCTGTGATAATATTATTGAGAAGTTTTGTCAAAATTTTTTTCTTGTATCTTTCGTTGGCTTTACTGTTTACTAACTGCTGACTACTTATTGTTTTTTTTTGCTAACCGTTTGTGAACTGTTGTTGCCTTTTTTTCCTTCAGTTTTCTGGTGCTTGTGTGTGTACCGTTGTATTGGCGTAGGTTTGATCTACGATCTTTTCAATCACAGCTGTTTGGATGTTTTGGCTACAAGGTGGCTGAAAAAGTATACAAAATCTTGCAGTCATCAAAATTATATATTGTCGAATAATCAGGAGTGTGTTTTTAAAAACCAAATATT